CCCAGTTCCTCATACAAAATCATCTCCTTGTTCGTTTTGTTACCGATAACACGATAGTCTGTATACCAGCAATATCAGAGGATGTCAGAATTGATATTCAGTTTCGTCGAAAATATTTCAATACCAATTTCATTCTAGAAAGAAATGGAATCTTTAGCAATATTTTTAAATAAATCTCGGTGTACCGATAATTCTTAATAATTAAAACAACTATTGTATAGCTATTTCACATTTGAAGTTCCTCGTACAAAATCATCACTTTGTTCGTTTTATTATTGTTAATAACACGATAGTGTGCATACTAGAAATATCAGAAGATGTCAGAATTGACGTTCAGTTTCGTCAAAAATATTTCAATATGAATTTCATTCTAGAAAGAAATAGAATCTTTGTCAACTTTATGAAATAAATCTCAGTGTATCGATAATTCTTAATAATTAAAACAACTATTGTATACCTACTTCACATTTTAAGCTCCTCGTACAAAACCATCTCTTTGTTTGTTTCACCACTAATAACACGATAGTCTGCATACTAGCAATATTAGAAGATGTAAAAGTTAATGTTCAGTTTTGTCAAAAATATTTCAATATCGACTTCATTATAGAAAGAGAAGGAGTATTTATCAACTTTTTCAAATAAATCTCGGTGTACCGATAATTTTTAATAATTAAAACAACTATTGTATAGCTATTTCACATTTGAAGTTCCTCGTACAAAATCATCACTTTGTTCGTTTTATTATTGTTAATAACACGATAGTGTGCATACCAGTAATATTAAAAGATGTCAGAATTGACGTTCAGTTTCGTCAAAAATATTTCAATACCAATTTCATTATAGAAAGAAATGTAATCATTAGCAATATTTTTAAATAAATCATGGTGTATCGATATTTTTTAATAATTAAAACCATTATTGTATATCAACTTCACATTTTAAGTTCCTCGTACAAAATCATCTGATTCTTCGTTTTATTATCGTTGATAACATGATAGTGTGCATACCAGTAATATTAAAAGATGTCAGAATTGATGTTCAGTTTCGTCAAAAATATTTCGATACCAATTTTATTACAGAAAGAAATGTAATCATTAGCAATATTTTTAAATAAATCATGGTGTATCGATATTTTTTAATAATTAAAACCATTATTATAATAGTGTAGTATCGCAGGTTTTCCACCTCGTGTACACGTAGCATTAGCTTAGAAAGAAACCGAGGGTTCGAAGACCAGGTCGGTCGGAATAACTTCGGCGGATGCGTCAGACCCTTAGTACGACCATATTTGGTCATGTTAGGGGTGGCTTTTGGAAAACGTGTACATTTTGGGAAAGAGATATAAAGAAGGTTAAGAGTGATCGGGACACAGTTCTTGGTCCAGTTCTCGGTGCTGAATTCGTTGTAGACAGTTCGATTTTAGTCGTGAGCTTTTAGTTGTTGCAGGCTGAGTTGTCATTGAGTTATTAAGATGGGCACTGTCTTAATTTGGAAATCGATATAGATTCGTGTAAAGAGATAATTCGTGTGTTTCATCATCGCTCACGCACTGTTAATTTATTATTAAACAAATATACATGTACCATCACCAATTCGCGTCTCTACGATAACAATTTCACATTTTGCGAACAAACACCGTGCATATGCAAACAACACAGCGCAGTGAAAACGGAATGAAATAAAATTTAAGAAACACGAAAAACAGAAATAACGCAGCTTTCAATAAAAATGGGAATTCAGATGATGAAATGAATTTTTCACATTTCCCGATTACTCGATCGACCAAACTAATACGTTTATCGAACCATGCGTTCCTCAGTCTCTTTCCACGCCAGTGTCACGCGACAGAGCGTGGAACAACACAAATAAAGGTCGTATTTTGATTTTGCCAGCACTCGACGAGTGTTGTTTCACACAACGTGTCCTCGCGTGGGTCTTGCAATATCCACGTCCCTCAAACGTTAGACGCGGCCATGTTTCTCTTTCGTCCATCATTTCTCTCTCTCCCTCTCCTAATCGTCACGAAAGACAGACGATTTACTTACACGAGCGCACGTTTCCTCTTTCTGTCCCTTCTTCTTTTCACTCGTCACGAAACACGCGAGATTTACTTTACACACGCGCGAGTTTTCCCTTTTTCCTTCCACGGTCTAATCGTCACGAAAGATAGACGATTTTCACGCGTGGAAACGCGCGTGCACGTCGACGCGTTCTTTGTTCGACGATCGTCCAGCGAATCCCAGGACGAAAATTGAATCGCGACCGCGGCTGAATAAAACACTTATTCCGCATGGACGCCGGCTCGTATTGTTCCCCGGTGATACGAAACAAATTACATTTTATTTCGCGCCAACCTCCGCGGAATTCTGTTTGCTCCCCACTCGAGAACCCGCGACGCTTTTCCACTTCGATTACGTGACTCGATAATTGCGCGCGCCCAGTCCTGCGGGTAATTCGCCACACGCGATTTCTAATCGTCTCTCTGGATGTAAACGACGCCAACGATGCGGCGGATAATCGATCCGCGGTTAGCGAATCGGAATTTCTTTATTCCGATTGCGTACCGGCTATGATCTTTCAGGGGGAGCAAGCGGAGAGATACGCTGATGTATTCATAGGGGTATTAAATTTCCCAGGGTGGAAATGGCGGTACTCGCGCGGCGTTCTTCGTCGAATTCGTGCCAGGTTTGGAAACTGCGAGATGGTCGAATAAGGAAGTTGAATTGGGATTTCATTCCTGTTATTTCCGATTTCCAGATAATTGCTTGCGTGTTGTTTCTGAGTCACGGATTAATGGTTATTCGATGATAATCGTCACGTTCCAACGAGATTTGGAACTGTGATTGAAAAATATTTTAATTTTTGGATTATTCAAAAATATTTTAACACTTTGCACTCGACGATTTTCCGACTAAAGAAGAGGAGGGGTTTAAAAATTTTCTGCCATAAAGCTGACGATAGCTTGTTCAGTAGTAAATAAGAAATCGAGTAATAATTAAATCGTAGAATTATTTGCATACCGTCAAATTATCTTAAATTTGGTATATTAATTAATATCGAACTTCGAGATTTGATCTAATGGTGACTGAAGGTCACCTCTCGAGTGCAAAGGGTTAATTTGGTTAGAGTTCTATTGATATATTTATATTATTCGTGATACTTGAGAAATTATAAATTTGGAGCAATTTTTGGAAATAAATATGTTCGATCATTTTTATTACGTTTGAGTTAATTTTATGCACGATTTTTTTTTTTTTTTTTTGAAAATTATAATTTTTGGCATCATTTTTGGAATCACAGGGAATTATTCGAGATCCTTGAAAGAGTTATGACGTCAATATGGATTTCACAGTAAGTGGATTCTTGCGTTGAATTATGATAGAAGGTTGGAGTAAGGATGGAATATTGCTTTTACTAATTAATAAAATTTGCGGATGAAATATTTTGAATTTTTTAATATTTTCTTGATACAGAGCTTCACGATGCTTTGGCCTTTTATCTGATTATTCCTTGCCTTGTTATTTCAGTTAAATTATTCTTAAAGGATCCGGTTATAAATACTCGTGGAGTACGTTGTTGGTCCAATTATTGAGTTGTACTACTGCACGCAAGTAAAGCAGTATCTGAAGTGTGCGGTTGAAGACATCGATTCCATTCGACTGAATGTACGATGGTGATAATAATCGAACTAAGAATTCAGTATTGTATACCAGAAATATACTCAACCATAAATGACCAGCTGTACCTTCTAATTCCAATAATATTCGAGTCATGACTAAACGAAGGATGTTTCTATTTGTTGCAAATATTACAATATTAATTTCTTATGTTAATTTTTCTTACGTTAATTTAGAAAATCTATTTTCCATTAAACTGAATTTTACTGTACCAATTATAACTTTATTATTACATAATATAAACAAAAGAGATACAAGATAAACCTGAAGCTAGTCTAATTATACACAATGTTTGTGTACGTTTTAATAGTAATATATACTACAATACATGAAGTATGTTTTAATAGTAAATTAATAACGAAGAATGAATTTTCCATTCTTGTTTTCATATCATAATTAAAATCAAAATTCGAGATCATCATCGAGATCCAAGTTAACGATGTCTCTAACAAAAGGTTTGGCATATTATAACGAAGCAGAATATACGAATGAAATAATCATTAATTATTAAATAACAAAGGTACTAATGACCCGAATATTCTCAAAAAGTAGCATCGCCACAGATCCAGCTAACGACTATCGAAATCCTCTTCTTCCATTACACTAATAACGCGAATATAACCGCGAGCTTGCAATTTAAATTTCCATTGCTGCAGAAAATGTTCAGTTGGCGAGTTATAACGATGATATTCTGTAACGCAATAATGTTCCAGTCGCGTCCGTTTAACCACGCTATCATCAAATAATCCTCCTGCCTTTAATCGGCCGCCATGTTTTCCTGCCGGCCCCGTTTCAAGAAGCATAAACACGCGTATACCTATCCATCAACAAGGAACGGAGTTCAAGTACTTCGAGTACTGTTTCGTTTCACTGCGATCTTCTTCATGGACGCAGTCGCGAATCAACAACTCGCATGAAAGCCCTGAAAAGCAGCGCGTTCCGACCATCATTAACGTGTGTTTCTATCGATTTCCTGGCCACGCACTGAAACTGTTTACGTAGAACGGTAGTGTTAATATTCTTCCAGATATCTTCCTTTATTATACCACAGCTTTTTCCTCTGGCACCTTTTCCTTTTCTATCGGCTTCCTTCACTGGGCAGGTACCATTCCATCTTTGGTCAAGTGACCTACATATCAGGGTCGTGTATCGTGTAGAAGAGGGATCGAGATAGGAAGAAGTTCCTTGCGATGCATACGAGTAACAAGATCACCCTGAGATAAATACAAATTTTTGTCATTGGTCCTTTGATACTTTTTGTATCAGATGTACAAATTGGATCACGAAGCATCGCGTGATGAGAAGATTTAATGGAATAGTACAATGGCGTACAGTGGCAGAGTGGCACAGAGTAGTAACACAAAGGAACAATACGAAGGAACGACTCAAAGAATTACGGTAGGTCAGGTATGTGAGTCGTCAACGCAAATTGAAATTCATGACAATGTAGCTTTTCTCAATTTCAGTCTTTGAGCAGTGCCTTACGATTTTTGGTCACGAAATCGAATTAGGCAACGTATAGGACAACATAGGGCATAGAACATAGATTGACATGAGTTTCTCATGAAGAATACGAGCCTAATTGGACTCCTACTTAGATTAATATATATATTAAAAATTTCAATATTATCTATCGATGTACAAATCAAAATTGACAATGGTGAAGTAGTTCAAAGTAGTGACACAATGGAACGACTTAAAGAATTATCGGAGGTCAGGTATGTGAGTCGTCAACGCAAATTGAAATTCATGATAATGTAGCTTTTCTCAATTTCAGTCTTTGAGCAGTGCCTTACGATTTTTGGTCACGAAATCGAATTAAGCAACGTATAGGACAAGATTGCACAAAACACAGATTGACACGAATTTTTCATGAAAAATAGAAGTCTGATTGGGCTTCTACTAAATTAATATATATTAAAAATTTAAATACTATCTATCGATGTACAAATCAAAATTGACAGTGAAGTGGTACAGAGTACTAACACAATGAATTACTGCAGGTCAGGTACGTGAATTGTCAACTAAATTGAAATCCATGACAATGTAGCTAGTCTCGATTTCATTCTTTGAGCAGTGACCTACGATTTTTGATCACGATATCGAATTAGACAGTGCATAGAACATAATGCACAGAATGAGGATTGACAGGAGTCTTTCATGAAGAATACGAATCTGATTGGTTTCTTACTTAGACCAATATATATTGAAAATGCCACTATTATCTATCGATGTACCAATCAAGGAACAGCTCACAGAGTAGATCAGATATGCGAATCATCAATGTAAATTGAAATTCATATAGCTTATCTCGATTTCATTCTTTGAGCAGTTGCCTACGATTTTTGATCATGACATCGAATTAGACAACGTATAGAACATAATGCACAGAATAGGGATTGACACGAGTCTCTCACGAAGAACAAGAGACTGATTGAACCCCAACTTAGATCAATTTATATTAAAAATATTACTATTATCAACAATTCGCTAGCTATTATATAACAAAGAGTATATTCAAACTATAAAATCGAAAAAATTCTCGAAACTCCGTTCCCGAGAGATTGGGAACGATACGAGACAATGTCACGAACGAAAATCCAGTACATTTATCAGTGACATAAGATGGAAATCGTTGCGACGGGTCTAACTTATTCTCCCGGAATGTCAGCTTACGTCACCAAGAACCCAACAGCGAGGACTCCATAGGATTCGTCTCTGAAAATAGCGATTTGGAGACATCAAAGAAGTCAAACGTTTCCTGTTGCTCGTGACGTGGAAAAGACTTCTTTCCGAGTCCCCACGGTACACGTGTGTGCACGAGTTTCACGCCTAATTACCAATGATGAATCGCGCGGAAACGTCGACGGCGTACACCGCCTGGAAAAAGTAACATTTATCATTGGCACATTTTCATCGCGCGGTATCGCGACTCTTACATTGTGTCCCCTTTCCTGCGTCCACCTTTTTCCGATATCAATTTGCTTTTTCTGTCCACGGACCGCTTGCTTAGCATCGCAACCTATTTGCACCGTTCTAGCTTTATCGCGGTCTGTTCCAACGCGTGCTGCTGGCTCGCGAAATTAGCCAGCGTTTACCGCTGGCTAGCGAAATTTATACGCTTCTCGCTGATAGCGCAACGAAAACGTCAAACAATCCAGAAAATTTCCGTCTATATAGCACAATTTATCACCGCGCCAGTGAATATTTCGAAGACTAGGATGTCGCGTCGCGATTAAATTTTGGGCAAATTCTAAAGGGTTGTAAGGTCGTTTCGCGATCTCATTATGTTGTCCGCCAAATTAATATTGGACAGCTATTGTTAGTACGAGGGAAAGGAAGATCTCGGCTAGAGTCTAACGCTAGACTCTGTACAACGATAGGAACTGAACTCTTGGAGGTCTCGATTGGTAGGCTCCAATTGATCTCTTTGAAGGTTTGTTTAGAACTCTTCTCCTCGATTTTCCTAAGATCGGTCTCAGGAAAAATCGAGAGCTCGTCAAATATTATTGGCTAATTGGACCAAGGGCGTTCCCTTGATTCGCAAATCGGTCATCTTGAAGGAAGGGGAGGAAGATCCTCCGAAACGAAGACGTTCGTGGAGGGAACCCTTTCTTTTAACCGTTTGAGTCCCAAGCAGCGCGATCGCGCTCTTCAGGCGCGCTCAACTTTGCTGAAGCACGTCACATAGCACCAACAAGCATATCGCGACGATTGTGATTTTTTGATATAAAATTAAACAAACGCCATCGCGCTGTTTGGACTTCATCGCACTCGATTAAGGCAAGCGTTATCGCGCTGTTCGGGGTTTTACGACCGTGTTTTTCCAAAGCTTCTGGGATTCAAACGATTAAGGTGAGGTAAGAAGGATCCACCCGCGCGCTGGTGAACCCATCGGCCGTTTATGGCCCCTCGCTAGGACCCGAGGCTTGCAACGCGTGTGGACCACGTGGAGCCCTCAGGCCTATTGTCAGCCAAGTCTTAAGAGCCGTCGCCTAATTTCGTTAAATTAGGGATTTCCAGGATTCTCGTGTTCCGCGACGCGAGAAGTCATAACAAAAGTGAACGTTTTCAAACATGCAGAAGACATGGATAGGAAAATTCCGATGCCGAATTGTTTCATACTAAGACCTGGCTGTTGAAAGACCGTAACGGTGTCTTGCTTCTACGATAAAACAAGGATAAGGCTACGATGTTCTGATTCAAGTGATCAGATTTAAACGATCACGTAGTGAGCTTTCTTTTTTCAATTCTTCCCAAGTGGATGAATCGCGTTACAAAATGACGAAGGCTGCTAAGTGGAGAAAAGTTCTTTACGATCGATGTATTTGCAAAAAGATCAAAGGGACCAGGCTGATGGAGCTTGTTAAACAGAGCAGAATTTTCCTCCTTTCTATCTTCACTCGAAATAGATATGATAACCCAATTTCTGGACCAAATAAAACCGGCCGTCATGCTGAATACGAAGAAGCGGTTACCTGATTTTCCCTTTAATTTCATGTTACAGCCTCGACTCTTCCTTTTCTCCAAAACTCAGAGTCCCTCTTGAAAAGTCAAGACTCCGGGAATATCGACTAATAAATGGCATAAGTAGTTTCATCTATCGCAAGGATTTCTCTGTTCCGACTGCAGTCGAGTGTCATACTCTGTTTACATGACCGTCCACTTCAATCATTACCAACTCTATCGGAAGGAAGGAGGAACGTTGAAAATAAAAAGAGATACTTTAGGCATCCCGATTGCTCAGAGCAATCAAACTCTCGTCAAGTGATCGATTTCTATCTACCAGCTTTCGTTTCTGCGTTCGAGCTTCTGTACTCGCGTTCCGCACACTCGCGATGCGTCTATAACCGCATCGGTGGCAAACGTCGGGGTGCATTAAATCGAGCAGATGAAGTAAATACGCAATTCCGCGAGCCAATTGGTGACAGCGGCCTTTCATCCGTACGAAGGTGGCCGTGATAAATAAAAATTCAGACCCACCCCTCGCTTTTCGACGATGCTCCTTCGCGGCACAATCAATCACTTCATTCCAGTAGCTTGCCGGATGAAAAATCACCAGCCGTGCAATAAATCACCGCGCTCAACTTATGAAATATCCACACGTGGCTCATTCAGGACGATGCGTGACCGCGATCGCTTTCGAATACGTGCCAGCACAGCTGTAATTCGCGACATGCTGTCCCTCGTCGACCTTTTGCACGGATAAAACTGCTATCTGCTGCTCGAATCGGTCAAAAATTTTTCCTCGCAATTGAGATAAATACCATTTTTTCCTCCATTGTTCTCTTTTCCCTCCTTTCCCTCCTTTTTCTTTTTTTTTTATTTTCTTTTTAACGGCGACATCGTGCTATTGAATTTTCGCGCGATCAGCATTCGAGTCACGGAAGGGTTGTTTCGAAGGTAAATTCTGTATTTATTACGGAACACTTTGAACAGTTTTCATCGGAGAGGCGTTGTTATCGCGTTCGTTGATCGAGTAACAAGCGAATGAAGAAATGGGTATGAATTTTTGCCTGATAATTGGAAATAGACAGGGTTTGCACGAGTCCTTTTACGTTTATTACGTGACGAGAGTTAATAGGAATTAAAATACTAGCGGAAGATTAAACTGTGGATAGAAATGGACGCCAATATCTTCTACGTTATTTAACAGTTAACACGTTAGTAGATAAAAATTAGATAAAAATATTGAAATAACGAAAACAATTTGCAATAAACTATTTCAAATAAAAAAAAAAAATTGATACTTTCAAGAAAATTCTTCTTTCTCTCTCACTGTCATTAACTCTTTACACTCGAGAGGCGATGCTCAGTCGCCAATTAATCAGATTCTAAAGATCGTTATTAATTAATATCTCGAATTTAAAATTGCCCAACGACGTGTGAAATATCGAGGTAAAATAATTCTAATAATTCTTATTGTTAATTTACACCTCTTATTTACCGTTTTGAAAATATCGTCGGCTTTATGGCAAAAAGTCTCGAAATTACTATGTTTCTGTAACGAAAAGATCGCCAAGTGCACAGGGTTAATCTAAATTTCATTCTTCTAAACATTATTATATATTTATATCATTGTAAATGAGTTTCGCTTATTCAACCTCATTCGCATTCGCACATATAAAACCAACACTCGCATAAACTGCTTCGGGATAAATAAAAATGAAACGATTTTTAAATTAAATTAGTAATTTAAATGGCATAGAAAAATTATTGACATTGTAATTATAACGTAATTCCTTTTCTTTTTTTTTTTTAATGAAAGTACAAAATTATTTTAAGCTATTCTCCATTTTAGTTACACCACTTTATTTCCAGCTTGAATCTAGTTCATTAATTAGTTTCGGGATAAATAAAAATAAGACAATTTTGAAATGAAATTAGTAATTTAAATGGAAAGAAAAAGAAATTATTAACGTTGTAATTATAACGTATTTCTGTTTCCTTTATTTCTTTTATTTTTTGTAATGACAGCACAAAAGAATTCAAAGCTATGCTACATTCTAGTTACACCACTTTATTCCCAGCTTCAACCTAGTTCCTTAATTGATTCCCCACTATAGCCGGTTCACCCTTAGTCATTAACAGTGGGAAAAGCTTCCAGGATTTCCTGATTCCAGTAGAATTTTGACCCTTCCTATTAACATAAAGGATCGCGCAGTGATGGAGCCACGCGATAAGTCTGCCTCGAATAATGATATCCTGGCTGATCCTG